ACTAGCATACAAATATCACGGGAGATATGACTAGTAGCAGGTAAATTTTGTTAGATTGAAAATAAGAAGAAATGGAAAATGAGCATCAGGGCCATTATAATGGTTCAAATAGATCATAATCTTGCAAATGCTTAACACACGACATTACCAGCACTGCGCTACAGAAATGGAAATACTGATGTACATGACATCTGGTTAAGTCACAATTCACATGAAAACATGCAAGTGAAATATAAATATAGAACCCAACACCTTCAGCGAAACAAATGTACGTGAACAAAGGGGTCCATTAAAACAAAACATAAATATCACAAAATTATTGATACTTTAGGGAAGAATTGACAAGATGCTGAATTAAAAATTTCAATGCTTTAGCAAATGATATTGTAACTAATGGCCACAAATAGATACCAACTGATGGGAATGGTAGTTGTAATACTATACTCCAAGTCAAACCGGAAGGGGTCGAAAAGCAGTTTCAAATGTGGAAAAAATGAATCTCTTCCTTCTTTTGGAGGGGAATCTTAATCCCAGAAATTGTGCTGGCAAAACATGCAGGCATAGCATACATGCACGTACAACCACATATTGCCACACCCACATACACATGCAAAATCAACCACTCCAAAAGCATACACGTACTACAGGAAGGAGGCAGGTTGGAAAGGAGCAAGTCAGGAGTAAGCATCTCATGAACAAAAAGGAAAGGCACTTAATTAGGTACAAAATGAGACAGCTCATGTTCTCATCAAAGCTTTAGAAATTGGGAAAGTATCTATAGAAACTACGGGTTATTGTGTGTTTCCTTTTCTGTATTAGTGTTTTGTTGTGTGCTCTGAGGATCATACACTTCTATGCTTAGCTTCATTGCATTTCTCAATAAAATTGAATGAATTATCGGAGAAAATAGAAAGGCATAGCATAAAAAGACATCCAAGATTACAGGATCCAAGGAGAAAAAAAATGTAGAAAATGTATAAGTCAATTTGAAAACTTTGTTCATGTAATTACCACATGAACTCAAATAAAAATAATCCATAAAGAATGCTCCTGGCCACAGCCATGATGGAATTGCAATATGAAGGATCCAGGAAAAAGAAGGTTTCAGAAAAAGATTAACCATCTCAAATTGCATGAGAACAACTTAACAACTTTTACGAGGCCTGAAGATGAAGCAAATAGGTTTCAAGCTTTACAGGCATAAGAATGCACAAATAATCAAATATTTTTGAAACAGAATATAAAATCGACAGTTGCATTGTACTCCGACATGGAGACCGAACAACTATGTACTACACATGAAAACGGTTGATTGTTTGACAATGAGCTTACATGCTCTTAACATGTATTTAGTACGTTACGACTTTATGCTTACAAATGGAAGCTCCTCTAATAATAGGATAATACAGAGATCAAAATATTGTAAATATTGTGAAAACATGTCCATAAATATTATGCTTATCTTTAGCAGGAAGAGTGGCCCTGCATGACATTGATAAATAATAACAAACAACAATAACATATGCACGAAGTGTTTTAATTTATTAAATTATCGCTAAACAAAAAAAAGGAGAACATGAAGAGGAGGCACTTAATGGAGTCCGCCTTGAAGTGAACAATATGAATTGGGTTGTGCCTAAGATACTGATTACCGGAAAAAGGCTGCACCAACATGCTTTTCGAAGCAGTGGATATTAGATTCTTCATGTTGGCATAGGGTCGAAAGTTTTGACTTTATATTTCTGAAACCAGTCTCTCCAAACCTCCACTGGACCTTACGTCTAGGATGCATGGAAATCGATGTCACAGTTCTTCTCTACTTTGCTCTATAAGATACAAATTCCACTGTGCATGCTGTTCAACTAAAGGACTGTGTCCATGTTCGGCAAGAAAACGATTTGCATCAAAAATGTAATTAGCTAGATTCAGTTAGATACTATCTAATAATCCAAGAAGACAGAAAATGTTATGTAATAAATTTTCATCCTCTCTTACGTTATGATGTTAAATAATATATATAACTCGGCTTATTTTTAAAATCGATGTATTAAATCATGTAATAATGGATACATTACCATATATGCCTTTGGAGACATTTAAAACTGTATTTGATATCTAAGATAGTTTTATCACTATCAAATTATAGCCATGTATTATACTGATGCCCATGTTTGACAGAAATGAAGATGGAACCAAATACAGACGGTATTCCAACTTTGCACTCCTAAGTGCCTCATACTTTGGACATTCAAGATTGCTCACAATTTCTCCTTAATTTTTAAGCATACTCGTGCCAGATAGGGCTCACTTTTTCAACAACTTGCACAGTGCAATGTATATGGCAACTTGCAACTTTTACATTAGCATCCAGCATACAAGAGCAATGATTTACACATCCGTTCAATGTAGTAACTTACAGCTATCTCTGAGGAGGTTACCTCCTTTTGTGTAGATTAGATAAGAAAATGGTCACTAATATCCATATGCCCTCAAATTTTCCTTGACTGTACTGCATACTCCTGCCAGATAAGGCTCGCTTTTTCAAAAACTTGCATGGTCCAATTTATATGGCAACTTGCAACTTTTGTAATACCATTCAGCATATATGAGCGATGATTTACCTACCTCTTCAATGTAGTGACTTACAGCTATCTTTGAGGAGGAGGTAACAAACTTTTGTGCAGATTAGATAAGAAAATGGCCACTAATATCCATATACCCACAGTCAACTAATATATGCTTGTCTTTCTTCAAGTCAGTCAGTTCATCAAATAATATATTACATAAACACAATCCTCAAATTAACTGCTAAACTTAACATGTAGCCTTGTGATTGTGGAGCTCTTCAGATTGTAGGCAACCATCCTTTGTACACTTGCAACCTCTAACTTACATAAGAAATATAGTATGATCCCTAACCTTATTCATGTGTCCTACGTCAACAAACATAGGCTTATCTTTCCGCAAGAAAATTGGTCAGTTGATCAATTCGTCGAAAATTATCTAATATAAGCACAATCCTCCAATTAACTGCTAAACTTGATGTGTGGCCTTGTGATCATGGAGATTTTCAGATAGCATCAGTGTCCACTTGCAACCTCTCTTCAACCTCATAACCATGAAAAGCCAATGAGTCTAGGATTACCAAGTCTTCCTAGCAAGGACGGTACAATAAAGGAGATCAAATCTTTTCCATCAGGCTTGTACTTTTATAAATAGCATGCTGTAAAGGAATATTAAGCTTGACATTCTTTTATATATGATCCAACCTAGCCATTTTAATTAGTGCTATCCATAATAACCTTCTCGCAAGCTGCGGCCTATATGGTGCAATTTATAAATAGTGTATGCTAAAGTAGCACTATTAAACTTGACTTTCCTCAATAGTCTTAGCAGTCATTATTCATTAGCTTATCTCAATGTTTCTCATATTGTATATATTGTAGGAGAGTGCTTTCCGAACAGTCTTATCAGTCATTATTCATTAGTTTATCTTTCCACAAGATGTTTGGTCAGTTGACTCAGTTTGTCGAATATAAGCACAACCCTCCAATTAACTGCTAAACTTGACGTGCAGCCTTGTGATCACGGAGATCTTCAGATAGTATTAGTGTCCACTTGCAACCTCTCTTCAACCTCATAACCGCGAAAATCCAACAAGTCTAGGATTACCAAGCTTACTAGCAAGGACGGTACACTTAAGGAGATCAAATTTTTCCTTCAGGCTTGTATTTTTATAAATGGCATGTTGTAAAGTATTACTATTAAACTTCGACACTCTTTTATTTATGCTCCAATCTTGCCAATTAAATTAATGCAATCCATAATAACCTTCTTGCAAGCTGCTTCTTATATGGTGCAATTTATAAATAGTGTATGCTAAAGTAGTAGCATTAAACTTGACTTTCCTCAATAGTCTTATCAGTCATTATTCATCAGCTCATCTCAAATTTTCTCGTATTGTATATATTGTAGTAAAGTATTGTTTGGCTGCACACCTATGCTTTAAGTACTTAAGTGAAGATAGTCAACTACCCTTGTCAACCCCTGATCCCACCCAAAAACAAAACCACATAGATGAAAAAGAGGGTGGAAAAAGAGAACCGACACAAGAGAAAAGAAAGAAGAACGAAAGAGAAAAGAAAAGGAAAGCCCATTTCCTCTTAGCACAAGAACCATCATCAATCGCTCCCGCCGTTCTAAATTTAAAAAATGGGCCAAATTTATCGATTTATTGCTAATAAATAGGGTTTGGGCCATGGCTGATATGGTTTTTGTAAAAGTTTATCGCATATCGTTTTTGGTCAATTTATCCTGATATATCAATGTAAATCCGATAAAGCAGCTGATTTCTTGTGTGTTAAAAACCGCTCGATTTTCTACAACTTACATTGTAAGTGAACCGATTTGGGTTTGGAGGCAAATACCCTCTTTTTTCCATACCCGACCAGCATCCACTAAACAAAAACCATGATATCCTATTCTATTTCACATCCGCTCGTTGTGTAACCCTAATTCTCTCCGCCTTCACTGTTCTCTCCCCCAAATCGCTCGCAAATTTCTCAGTCAAAGACCTTTATCAACGCCCCCTCTCAAAGATCATCACTCGATATTTTATTAAATGTGCTTAGATTACATTTTATGAGATTATATTATACTTGCTCACCATATGATATGACACTCCAATTTTTACTACTTATTCCTGACATATCCCCGATAACTAGGATCCGATATGAATTTTGGTCGTCCGATATATTTCCGGTGACCAATATTTAAAACCTTGATCGTTCCTGTTTGCTTCTAAGTGCTAGCTTTCAATATTATACTACCAATTCAAATAACTCATAATCATAAGTTCAAAGTGTTTAGCAGTTTGTCTCAAAAGACACTTGGTAATTTTAACCGTCCATCATACACATTATAGGCCACGTTTATGGATGTTTCTTAGCAATGTTGAACTTCAGCACGTGATAAGTGCTGATAACTCCAGTTGGTAGCCTTCAGGTTATCCAGAAAACTGAGATCGGTGTTCATATCCATCCAGATGGTTGTCAGCCTTTGAAGTTACAGCAAGCTCCATAATCAATGTTTACTTTATTTTGTGTTGAGATTGTTGAAAGGAGGGAAGAGAATTGGGTATGGGCCTGCAATTGGGGCGAAGAGGCGTTATTCTTACATGTTTTTTTTAAATCTCAAAACAGGTATCGGGGCTAGTTTGTAGGATTTGCTAAAGAAATTTTGGTACTCACTGCATAAGCATGATGCTTATAGCAATTCTTGAAGAAATTATACAGAATATAATAAATAGAATAACTCCTAAATCAAAAGTAGACATAGCACATGATGCTGGAAAAACTTTCTGACTGATATTGATACTCACTACATAAGCGTATGATGCTTACTATATAGCCAATCTTGCTGAAATTCTACATAAAAATATAATAAATAGAAATCTAGCATGTATCACATAAAACGAAATTATGTGTGTGTGTGCGTGTGAAATAGAATTCTACATAAAAATATTATAAATAGAAATTCTATATCAAAGTAGGCATAGCAGATGATGCTGAAAATAGTCTCTGAGCAATATTGATAGTCACTGCACAAGCGCATGATGCTTACTAAATAAGAAAACACCTACATTGAAAATAGACAAAGCAGATGATGCTGAAAAAGCTTTCTGACTAACTTTGATACCCATTGCATAAGCATGATGCTAACTGTAAAGCAATTCTTGCAGAAATCCTACATAATGTAATAAGTAGAAACCTCCAAAGTCAGAATAGACATGGCAGACCACGCTGACAAAACTTTTCTGACCAATTTTGATCATCTTGTCAAGCATGTATAGTATGTACAACTTTCTTGAGATAGCAAAAAGACACATAGTTTGGGTTTAACCATTGAGATCGTATTTCAGGCTCATATCGTCAATGAAAACAAAACCCAGTTGTCCCACCATAGCTTCTGCAATGAGATTTCAAAAATAAGGTATAATATGCAAACCTCTAAGATCAGTTTGGAAAAACTAATGTTACTCAGCATGTCTCAACAGTGTTGCCTTTGCAATTCCACAGCCGATCCCCCTACGATTAAACCTTCCAAGATTGTTATAATTTAACAATTTAAGTTATTGAGAACAAAGATCGATAGTGTATCACACAATAGGAAACAAAGTAAAAAAGTAGAAATAGCAAGATAAATAAAATAAATACCTTCTAAAATAAACTACAGATCATGAAAGAAAACAATTTAAGCTCAACTATTTTTAAAAAAAACACTATTTCTGTCTCCGTACCAACTTAATCTTGGACCTCCTGTGCCAGGCTAACATACCTAAGAATCCACTGTCTGACAATAAGGTCTAAAGGTTAGAAGGTTCAACTGCTCTCCATACAATTACTGTGGGTATTTACATTTTAAACATCTCGGAAGGGTCCCAACCATCTTTCTTTCCAAAGAGCTAGTCGGCTTATGACGCGATGGCGTGTCTAGTAAGCTTGAAAGCCACTGTGTCCTGAAAGGGAAAAGAACCCCAAAATGTCTTTAGTCAAAACTTATTAAACTTTAACCATTTTTGTTTTTACCCATTGTAGGATTAAACCCCTAAGGTTTACCTTTTCCACCATGTGTCTTTTAATCTCCCAAGTGGATCCACTGACGCTATCATCATTGTAAATGCAGATAACCAACTTGACCTGACTCTGCACCCATAAGGGCCAAAACAACCCATGTTGTCCCCTAAACCCTTGATCAGAAATTCACGCTGAGTTCACAAACAATTTCTCAAGATGTCCATTGAAAAGAAACAATACAGCTCATTTTCAAATTACACAGTCATCAATACAGAGGTATAGATTGGTTTTCTCCATTTTTTCCTTGTTTTGTATGGAGGTTAGAGTTTTGAATTAAAAGTGTGTTGCAGCGGGGAGCTTCACAGACACAGAAAATGCCTATACAAAAGTGGAGAATAACAACACTGAATAAACACAGTGAAGACAAAGAGAACAACACACAACGATTTAACGTAGTTCGGTCAGTATGACCTACGTGCACAGGCGAGAACAGCAAAAAACTTCACTAATCACAAAAAAGAAGATTACAAAAGGAGATCGCTCTCTGAGAATCACACAAAGAAAGAGATTAACTCTTTCTATCTCTCTCCTCTCTCTTCTCTCTAACTCTACTCTCCGTCAGTCTAATTATTCTTCCTTTACCACTCCTTTTATAACCTTTCAAATCTAATAAAAAATTAAAAAATAGTTGGTGTAATAGTGTAGGGAGATAGGTGATTAGTGTAATAGTGTAGGGAGGTAGGTGATTGGTGTAATAGTGTAGGGAGGTAGGTGATCATATACAAAGTCAAATAACAAATCTCCACCTTGACTTTAAATATAAAGATCTTCTCTTTACTCTTACTGTCTCGCCAGAAACCCCTTACGAGCTTAACCTCCGCTTTGTTGAACTTCAAGCAATACAAGACAATGCTCGAACTTGCGCGAATGTACGAGCTTCGTCATCATCTCTACTGGATTATCCGCAGTACCAATCTTTTCAATTTTGATGACTTTAATTTCTCTGATAAAATGATAGCTGACATTTATATGTTTAGTTCTTTCATGATACATCTGGTACTTCGTCAAATGTATAGCAGTCTGGCTATCACAAAATACCATAGTAATACCTTGATCTATGCCGAGATCTTCAACCAAATGGCTTCTTTCACTGCCTCTGTCACTGCCATATACTATGCCTCTGTGGTAGATAAAGCAATTGTCGACTGTAGAGTCGTCTTCCAACTAATGGCACTACCTGAAAGAGTGAATAAGTAACCTGTCAGGGATCGTCTCTTATCCAAATCGCCCGCATAATCTGAATCAGAGTAGCCAAGTATTCTGCAATCTGAGTTTGTCTTCCTACCAAAATATAAACCAATATTAGTAGATCCTCTCAAATATCTAAGTACCCATTTCACAGCCTACCAATGGATCTTTCCAGGTTTATCCATATACCGACTCACGACACTGACTGCATGTGAAATATCTAGACGGGTGCAGATCATAACATACATAATACTTCCAACTGCACTAGCATAAGGAACACAAAACATGTATTGTTCCTCCTCTTCAATCTGAGGTGACAAAATCTGCTGAAAGACGAAAATGAGTAGCAAGCGGAGTTTTTACAGGCTTAGCATCAAGCATGCCAAATTTCTCTAACATATTCTTTATGTATTTCTCCTGAGATAGGAATAAACTTCCTTCTCGTCTATTCCTGTGGATCTTCATCCCCAAAATCTTTTTTGCTGCTCTCAAATCCTTCATCACAAACTCATGTTTGAGTAGAGATTTTAACTCGCTGATTTCTGACATATCTTTAGCTGCAATCAACATGTCATCAACTTACAAAAGCAAATACACAAAAGAGTCATCATTGAGCTTTTTATGATAAACACAACTACCATATTTACTAATAGAATAACCATGCTCAAACATGAAAGTATCAAATCTCAAATATCACTGTCTCGAAGACTTTTTCAACCCATAAAGAGATTTTTTTCAACCTGCACACATGATTTTCTTTACCTTCAACAATGAACACTTCTGGCTGATGCATAAAGATCTGCTCCTCAAGCTTGCCATGTAAAAAAGCCGTCTTCACATCAAGTTGCTCAAGCTCCAAATTAAAATGAACAACTATGACAAGCAATACGCGAATTGAGGTGTTTTATAACTGGAGAGAATACTTTATTGAAGTCTATACCTTCTGTCTGACTGTAACCTTTAGCTACAAAACGTGCATTGTACCTTACAGAATCTGTATCTAGAGCTTCTTTCTCCTTGAAGATCCATTTACAGCCAATAATTTTTGTCTCCTTGGTGACTTCACTAACTCACATGTCTGGTTCTTGTGATGAGACTCCATATCTTCAGTCATTGCAAAAGTCCAATTTGCAGCCTCCTTGCCACTAATAACCTTCTTATAAGTTGCAATCTCAATCGACTCTACTATACTTAAAGCATAAGCAAGCATGTCTGCATAACGTTAAGGTCGGATTTGCCTTTTTAATCTCCCGGTAGTAATATTATACCGTTGCTCTTGCAGTGTATCAGCATCTGAAGTTGAACCTTTTGTAGTATTAACTAGTACAACATGAGCGCCCTCAAACACTCTCTTTGAAGCTGAGCTCTCTAGCTCCACCTTCTTGCTAAACTCCTTTTCAGTACCTGTGGTATCAATAACAAAATCTTTTCTCGGATGAAGCATGAATTTCTCTTCAAAAATAACATCCCTACTAATAATAAACTGAGGTGATTTAAGATCAGAACATCACAATCTATATCCCTTCACCCCAGTAGCATATCCTAAAAAGATAGATTTATTTGCTCTGGGTTCAAGCTTACCATCATTAATATGAAAATAAGCAGAGAAACCAAATACTCCTAAATGAGAGTAATTAGTAGGGGTACCAGACCATACATCTTCTGGAGTCTTAAAATCAATTGTTGTAGAAGGAGATCTGTTTATCAAATATCAAGTTCTATTGACTGCCTCTGCCAAAAATCTTTAAACAAACCGGCATTAAAGAGCATGCACTGAGCTCTCTCTAAAAATGTTCTGTTCATCTTTTTTGCAACTTTATTTTGCTGTGGTGTATGTCGAATACAATAACGTACAATACCTTCATTCTTGCAAAACTGGTCAAACTCTGTAGAACAAAACTCCATCCCATTGTTGGTTCTGAGACGCTTCACTTTCTTTCATGTTTGCTTCTCAATCATAATATTCCATTGCTTGAAAGTTATAAACACATCACTCTTATGCTTCAAATGATACACCCAAACTTTTCTGAAATAATCATCAACCAATGTTAGCAGAATCGAGCTCTACTTTTCGATGGAACCTGAGGGACCCTAAACATCTGAATGGATATAATCTAAAGTACCCTTGGTTCTGTGGACACCGGTACTAAAGGAGACTATTGTGTTTGCCGAAAATACAATGCTCACAAAAATCTAGCTTACTAGTTTTCTGACTACAAAGCAGACATTTGCTCAATACATCTAGTCCTCTCTCACTCATATGCCTTAACCGCATATGCCACAAACGTGTAGTGTCAGAATCTAAATCCTCTGAGGATAATACTGTTGCAGCACCCGTCACTGTACTGCCTTCAAGGATATAGAGGGTATTTACCTTCTTTCCTTTCATCACAATAAGAGAGTCTTTACTAACTCTCAATACTCCACCTTCAGCTAAAAACTTAAAACCATTTGAGTCAATAATGTCTAAAGAAATGAGGTTCTTATTTAACTCTAGTATATGTCAGACATTGCTCAATGTTCTGACAATATCATTAGTTTTAATCTAAATTGATCTGATACTAACAGTCTTGCAAGGCATGTTATTTCCCAACAAGACATTCCCACCATCGATAGACTGGTATGTTACAAATCAATCCTTATGCGGACACATATGATAGGAACAACCCGAATGAAGAATTCACTTATCTTATGAATGAGTAGTAACACTAACTGAAAGAACCTAATGTCAACTAGAAGACTCTTCAGTTACAGTAACAACTGAATGTTTCACCTCCCTAGACTTCAACGGTGAATTATTATTTGCTTTGAGAGCTGGACATTTAGATTTTATATGCACATACTTGTGATAGTAATAACATTTAATATTTTTTCTTGGCCTGAACTTTGATCTAGATATATTTCTAGATTTGCCTCTACTACCAACACCCTTTTCAGGATGACCACGAGTGAATAAGCCTTCAGCTTGATCCTCTCCTCCTACGACAGACACTTTCTGTCTTAATTCTTTTGAATGTAAAGTTGATTTGACATCCTCCAAAAAATTGTATCTCTACCATAAAGCATATTATTGACAAAATTTTCATAGAAAAGAGGTAATGAACATAACAAAATAAGGGTTTGATCTTCTTCGTCGATTTTAACATTAATATTCTTTAAATCCATAAGAATAGTGTTAAGTTCATCTAAGTGGTCTTTAATTCGCATACCTTCCTTCATGCGAAGGATGAAGAGACGTTGCTTCAAGTAGAGCTTGTTCGTTAGAGATTTTCTCATGTATAAGCTCTCCAACTTGAGCCACAAGCTAACGCAGTATCTT